GCAGGGAGAAATTGGAAGATCACGTAACATATACGCCAGCCATTGGAATGAAAGGTGAAAAAAAACGGGGTTTGTCAAACAGAGCACAAGGTGTAATCCTAAACGATAGCTGGGGATTCTGGGTAGTGTAGTGTCTTCTGCCATCCTTTACTCCGAAAAAATATTTGTTTCTCCGAATCGAAGGGGAAAAATACAAAAGCATTGCACACAATTTAAACCAATCAATGTTGTGTAATTAACAAGGATAATCTGGTGTTTTTTAGTCGATGAGTAGTGCAGATATCACTGTAAAATCAATCGACAGTAAGGGGAATACTTACTTCCGGGTGTACAATTCTCCGTTATCCAATGGGAATGGACGCTCACATTGCCTTTAAGGGCAGCCGACACAAACGAATGCCGTGCTTCCATGAGCGTCAAATCCCGCCGCAGATGGGAATACATTGCAATCAGTTGAAAGCTATTTGCGTCCCTTTATGAAGCTGAAGGAGCCTAGGAGCGTCACAACTGCACGCCACGGGACCCTGACCAAACGTCGCTCCTGGACGATTATGGAGTGAGAGTGTGTTGTCTGATCATACATTTTAATACTTGTCAGCTAAATGATTGACCTCTGTATGTGTGCCACTTGCTTTTAGGCTAATCACTTCCTTATCCCTCTCAATTCATCTCAGCTTTCTTATATTTCTGGATTATTTCAGTGAACAGTTAATACTTAAAATATATTAAAACAAATGCTATACTCACCACAAAAGCAACATGATTTGCATTTTGATTAAAAAAAACATGGTTGTTATTTTGTAAATGTGAACACTAACACAAGCTAAATTACATTGCATATAGAAACTGATTATACTGGGTATATGTTTTGTTACCAAAATAACAATGTTTCAGAATGAGTTGCATAAGCTTGCAGTAATTCATGTATCAATGAAAATGCTACATAAAGCACCTTTGAGATCTGTCTCATAGATATGAGTTTGAGTTTGATGACATGTCAAAATCAGAATATCAATGAATAAGTGTAGGCTCAGAGATTACAGACTGCTGTTAGCTGGGCTGGAGATGCTTCTGTCGTTTTTTCCGACCCAGTTGAGATTCAACCACGCACGTATCCGCATTAACTGCGTCCTGGATGTTTCAGGAGAACGTTCCGTCCCTTTCTATATGCAGTCTGTGGTGCCGTCCCTATGTTAAAAACGTTGAAGTTGTGACGACTACTCTAGCTTGGGAAAAATAATGATATGGTCTGGTTATTAGACCACAAATAATTAGCTCACTACCCCTCCCAATGGCCCCTCCCCCCCACTCCCTGCTGCTTAGAGGCAGCTTCACTGGGGGGTGAGCAGACTGCAGCTCCGTAGTCCCACTTTTGGGAGTGGCCGTAACATCTCGTACTGAATTGAGTGCAAGAGCAAGACATGCTAAAATACGTTACAGTCATCTGCGGAAAAAAGGAATACTTTATATACTCTGACAGTGTTGAAAAGTAAGTAGCTTATACTCAAATACTTAACTTAGGCCTATGTTCAAAACATGACCATAAAAAAGAAACAACCTTTTAGGCTTCATATTGTTTGCTAAATTATTATTCCTAAATCAATAGTGAATTAATATTAAACGATTAATTAACATTTACTCAGCTCTTCATAACTGTGATGTTGTTTCATATTAAAAAGCAGTTTATCAATCTACTTTGGGAAAGCTGCTCTATGAAGCGCCTGTGGCTGTCAAATTCATATTTTGTGGGATGAAAACTCAAAGGCTGACGCTCTGAGGCTGCATCGATGCTTAAGTCATGGGGAAGTGTTAGAGGTTTATAGGTTAAATCTCTACTGGGTTGAAAAGGATAGACAGGTTGAGGACAGTGAGCTGAGGTCAGATGCCCCCTTTCCACCAAACCGGTTCCAGGGCCGGTTCCGGGCTACAGCCTGATTTAGCTCTGGTTCTTCCTGTTTCCACCGCAGCGGAGCCGGCTCTAAGCTCCGAAAACCGGCTCTTAGCTGACCCCACTCGACTGCCCGGCAAGAACCAAGAACCAAGACCGCTTACGTCGGAGGGGGTCGAGATTAACCTGAGCAATAACAGTTAATGGCGAGTACGGCAAATCAAAGTTGTAAGCAGTAGCGCTGAGCAAAGTGACTAGAACGCGACTACACACACTTTATAAAGTCAGACAACACTAACCAGGCTTCGTGTGATTCTGTTTATTTGTACCTTACTTTAACCATCCGTTCACTGTTATTGATCATTGTGGAGAGAGGCAGACGTTTTTTTTTTATTATAGCAGCTATCAGATGGAATCAATACATGGGCTGCACAGGTTGTCGTGTCCGACTATCACAAGTAGAATCATAATGAAAAATACGCCGGTAAAATGTGCCTGTAGAAAGCGGCTTATGCCACAATAGGATAGCAACAAGTAGTCAAGATAGTCAGATTAGCTTCTTTTATACCAGATAAATGTTCATAACACTGTTGTGATGCCAAACAACGTCAATTCAGACTGACACACATTCACTTGGGGGATGGGGGACATTTATCAGCTGCTTGTGTGACAGTCAGACAGTGAATACTTTCCAGCGGCCGCTGCCGTGAGTTAATGGTAGACTAAACTTTGCCGTGAGTTAACGGTAGACTAAACTCTGCTGGGAGTTAACGGCAGACTAAACTCCGGTGGACGAGCAGCACTGCAGCGGTTGGTAAATGCCGCTGAACCACATTAATAAACAATTAACCACGGCATAAAAGTACAAGGGTTGAGAAGTAGTTCTTTAATTTAATCTGGCTTTGTATGATGATGAACGGATCTTGAACCGGAACCGGTTTGGTGGAAAAGGGGCAAGAGAGAGCTAGAGGGCATAGCCCAGTTACCGTGAGACAAATACTGTTTTGTATCCATGGATGTTTTTTGGGGTTAAAAAATAATGAGCTGTCTATTTTGGATTAACCATTCGTTCTGTTGGGCAGAAGTAAAATCTAGAAACAGTTGTTTCCTTTAGTACTATAGGGCAGGAAGCACACCAGTATGAAGGGCGGGGTTTGGGGTTATCGATCACAACTGAGAAACTAAGGGTAACATTCCTTAGTGTCTTCAGGGAGGTGATGGTTTCTTTACAGACATCGTCTTAAATTGACAATTTTGAAGTTGAATTTGTTTTGAACAACAACATTTTAGGAAATGCACTTGTTTGCTTTCTTGTACTTCTCTCAATGTGTTGCATCTGATCCTAGCCAGGCAATATGTGGACAAAACTGAAAAAGAAAACCATTGGCCTCAGTTACCTCTGCAATGGAGCTTATCTGCCAGTCTGGGTTGTCTGTTAGTCAGAATCATTATGGAAAGACTACTGGCCGCATTTCAATGAATCTTGTCGCCTCTGTGTGTCCAGTAGAGAGGTCCTGGACCTGTTTAGCCTAGCTTAGCATTATGACGACAAGCAGTAAGAAAAAAAGCTCTCAAAAATACTTCTGAGCTATCATATTTGTAATATTTGTTAAAGTTTAAGGAGAGTTAGCCTTCTAGATGTTTCGCTCTTAGCTAATAGGTTGATAAAGACCTTCATAAAGATATTGCTAGGTTTTAGCTCTTTCCTGTAAACAAGGCAGGATGGCCTTGGAATGTATCAAGGATTCCAAATGACCAAGATGCAACTTGAGACAGGAGCTGTTTTCCGATTTTTACAGATCTATTTGCCAAGCTAAACACATCCAGGACTTATGTCTGTACTGGTCACACAGGAGTGAATCTTTTTTTGTCTCTGGCTAAGACAGCGAATGAGCATATTTTCCAAATGTCATTGTTCACGAACAAACATAAGTTACAAATCGGACCTAAAGTAAAGATACATTTAGCAGGTCACTCAGTTGAACATAATTTGTTTCAGAGGTCTGTAAAGTGCTTTTGATGCCTACTAAAGAGAACCTGGATCATGCAACAGAAAAAAACACTGAACTGCCACAAGGGACAGTCCCATCGTGTCTTGTTTATTGGCTTTCCTGTTTCCAAACAGCTGCTAATGATGAGCAGCACAAGCCAATAGACAAGGTAAAAGAGGGGGAGAATGGAAATCATCAGAGAGCAAGGTAGAGGAGGGCAGAGGAAGGAAAAGGAAGGAGCATGACTTCAGCTACCAGGCAGGGAAAGAGGAAGACAGAAGCAGGTTAGGACTCTGGAGAGGAAGCTGAGGCATGGTGGACGAAGTCAGCACAAAGATTGAATTGAATGCATTTTTACTTACTGTACATTTGTTAGTAAAATTGCATAGAGATAATGCAGAATAAACACATCATTTTTGTAAAAACAGCTGTTGTGCTATTCAATGCAATATGAAAGAGGATTCATTAAAAGTTTCTGCAGCTGTGAAGAAAATGTACAAGTTAAGCTTTTTATAAATGCGGAATTGAAACTCATAAACAGTTCTATACAATGTAGTTCTAAAGATTGCTCACATGTTTGGCAACAAGCTTTATGAACATTAATTGTAACATAAAGAAGTCCTTTCCACATCAGAAAACCAGACACATTCAGTCGCATTCGTTTTTATCAGTTTTTCTTTGGGAAAACTTTGTAATTGTCATGCACATAATTGACATTAGCTGTTTGATCACAAGAGAGATCCATTGGTGCATTGCTCATTTAAACTCTTCATTCCAACAGTTGAAAGACACACCGTGACTACACAAACACCCAGGTACATTCATCAGATATTCTTTAGTGTTCAGAAATCCTCTCAACACTGCGTGTAGAATCTCTCACATCTGCATTCTTATGTCGCGGTACTCTACCTGACTTAGCCAAGAGCTGTTAGATTAGGAGCTGCGTCAGGACAGAGCGCCCATACAGTGTTTTTGCAGTAGCAACCACACAGCAGCAGAGATGGAGCAGTAACTTACCTTCCAGTTTGGCGTACTCTGACAGCCGCTGGTAGTTGACTAGAGCAGCCTGCTCCAGACACCGACGTATCACCGCCTTCACGTCCTCTTGTGGAACCGGGGTAACAATATCCTTCATCAGAACCTAAAAAGGAAAGCAACAGTTTTTATTTCGACCAATCATTTTCAAATGAAAAAGAAAGTAAAATAGTAAAAGTATTGTTGACAGGGATCTGATCATGTTAAGCAAAGTAATAGCAACTTCTTGTTTCATGAAAAAAGGTAACACTGCTATTGCGAAGGCGATATGTGGGTGTCCCCAGGCCTGGATTGTTGGTGTCAATGTTGGTGCAGATCGATCAATGCTGCAAATTAAAGCCATTTCCTGTTTCACCAATGCTAAGGTGCTTTAAAAGCTCCGAAGCTTCGAATTTATCGTAGCACAAGTCTTACTGCCAAGCTGACCTAACCTGAATTTAATTGATTCACGTCTAAATTGGTTAAATGGTGTATTGTATGGCCTCATTGTGTGATGTTTCGACTCTTTGGAAAAATACGGCCATCCATCAGTAAAAATAACTTACCCTTTCAAGCAAGGACAGAGTTGCTTTCAGCGCCCCTTCTGGCCGACCAAATGGAAAGCAGTACCTATGGAGAGACGGATTGGACTTTCATGTGAACCCTCAGCAGAATAGATTGGCATGAGATCAGCACATGGTTGCTGAACACGGATCCTACCTGAAGTGTGTTATCTGGTTCTCCAGAAGAACCCGTAGCCTCTCTTTGATCTCCTCAAAGTGCTCCTTCTCTTCTATGGTCACTGTGCCTATACCATCAGGCCTGAAAGACATCAGCAGGTACAAGAAACACGAGGTGTTACTGGTGCCGGAGCAAACTGACATGAGAGACTTTGAATTAATGTAAAGTGTGTGTATATTTTTGGAACTCACTGTTTCAAATACATGTTGGTTTACACGTTATTTATACCTCTCCCGATGTTCTCAGATTTGGGAAAACAACAGGCCAGTGTCAGACTGAAAATAGCTCGACAGCCAGGTCTCAGCACCCTGGGGTTAGGGTTAGTCCAGGACAAAGACCTGAGTTTAGTTTTTCACAGTCTTTGGCTGGATGTTAGCACTTAACTCAGTGTGCTTTCACATTAGCAGTGAAGACCAAGAATGGGCAAAGTTGATCTAATAATCTGACAATATAAACCAAGAAATTGACCTGTATGAAAAGTCAATAGACAGGTTCCACAGAAAGCAATCAAAACCAGACAAAATGTAAGCTAATCAGGCTAAGCTAACGTTGTATATGCTCCGTCCACACTGTATGAACGAGCAATACTTTGAAATGCAAAAGTGTGTGTGTGTGTGTGTGTGTGTGTGTGTGTGTGTGTGTGTGTGTGTGTGTGTGTGTGTGTGTGTGTGTGTGTGTGTGTGTGTGTGTGTGTGTGTGTAATGGGGCACACGCATCGGCAGCGGAGACATTGGGCCGTCACAC